GCTTACCCACACCTGCCACCGAAATGTCAAGCAGGCGGGCGGTGTTGTCAAGCTCATCGTTCAACTGTCGTCCTTTCACCCTCCCATACTCATTGTGCGAGCCTTGCCGCACAGCGCTCTACACCCCTGTTGCAGTGCCATGCTATCACGCAGACGGTCCTCCAGGAGGACCGCCCCGGTGGTGGGGGGGGGCCTGTGGCTGTGCCAGCGCCACCCACCCTATCCCTGTCTGCCGCGGGCCTCCCGGAGTGCCCTGTATAGTACTGGTGTAGTTGTTGTCTTATAGTCTACTTGTACTATAGTAACTACAAGTGCTACTACATATATTGCTATATCGCTAGTGGGTGTATGCAGGGTGATGGCGTCTATGACAGTGGATTAAACCCTAGGATAGGGTTTAGCCGACCCTAGGGTCCGCCCACCAAAATCCCAGAAAACTCTTGCATAACCCTAGCCATTCATGGGCCGGTACATTCAGCAGATGAACGGCCGCGTGCAGATCGGTCATGATGACAAGGCGGCGTGGGGGCATTGCGCAGATGTTTGAGGCGCAGCGGCAGCATCAACGGCGCCGGCAGTGCCCACGCCAGCCCCATGAGCGACATAGGCAACTTTGAGATGCCAGGCGCTATGCATGGCGCAGCTATCCCAGGGCGATGGCCGGCCCCGGTGGCACGCGGGTGGGACATGAGCATGGGTGTCATGATTATGATGAAGAGCGCGCCCATCGCCGGGGGAGGAGGTGGCAATGTTCACTGCTACGCTGCCATGATGGCTGTAGACTTCGCCCGCCTTCCGTTCTGCCCCCGCTTTCCTTTCGCCTATGGACCCCGTCCAAGCTACTATCGCCGCATCATTCGTCCATGTCCCATTGTCGCCACACTACTCTAGTACAACAGCTGCCTATGTTCTCTCGTCCTTCGTTGTCGCTTGGTATATGAATGGACCTATCCATCTATGCTCGGTGGGAACACAGCAAGCGCAGTGCGTCGCTGCATGGTCACGTCAAGGTCGACAACTGCGGGATATCTTGGGGGTTAGTAACAGTAGTAGGCCGATATCTCCAAGTCTGTACTGACCATTCTCATCCCAACGTCAGGGAGATTGAGTTGGGCCGATTGACCGGAGGTGCTTCCCGCTGAAAACATATCAGGCCTAGTCATACTGTAGACGAATGATGGACTTACAATAGACCCCCTGTTCTGTGAGCACCTGGAGCGCTGTGCTCTGGCGCTTGCTCATCACTGCCTTCGTCTCGAGCGCCTTCACCTCTTTTTCAAACTCGCCCTGCAGCTCGAATGCCCCATTGACGGAACGGTCCAAGACGTTGATGCTGACAGGTGGGAGGTGAAACACTCCCACGCTCTCTGTGAACGCACCCTTCATAACCTCCCGCTCCCATACGTCCTACATAGCAATTGGCCAAGCGCGTGTCGTAGTAAGGCTTAGAGCAGGAAATGACTTTGAAGGCAGCGAGAGCCTTGTGGAACGCAATGGGAGGTGATGGGGTAACACTCGCAAGCACGTCGTATGGGGCAAGCCTGAAGGGAGAAACGCTGATGCCATCGATGCAAACAGCACGGTCAATTGCGAGTTCCGTCCCCTTGAGGCCGTCCAACATCTCGGAGAGACTGGCTGGCGCATTGGAGGTAAACAAGGGGGAGGGGGCGGGGGAGGGAAGGTCGTCTGTCTTCTCATTCGTTACCTCCTGTATCCCTATATCCCTCAATCTAGGGACTTGCGCGATATTCTCTCCCCTGTGTGCTACACCGCGTACTTGGATAAGTCCGCGTGATAAGTCTGGATAGACTTGTGTTAGTACTTCAGCGTAACAAACCCTTCCCCGACCCTACGATCCGCTTTGTCATGTATGACCAGATCAACAACGATGGGAACGGCCTGAAGGGTCCTAAGGATGTCACCGGTGTTCTGTTGAAGTTGCAGTACCTCATGGTAGGTCCTTGATATGAACAGTGCACTGTCCTATCTCATGATTGCTTCTAGCGACTCTGCTTTTTGAAGGAAGCCCATGTGCGCATGAACGCAGCTAGTTCACAAGACCTCGAACTTGCTGAGCACGTAAAAGCGCAAAAGCAGTGGTTCTTTGCAGTGGCTGACTCTCCCTTCACGTCCATAAAAGAGTACCAGCAACGTGCTTCTAGACTCGTCTTCTCCATGCCGGGGATACGGCATTTCATATGGAAGGCTGACACCACGTCGCCCACTCTCGTCTTGCCAGATGGGGAGCTGTCGTTGCAGGCGCTCTCAGGCTGTCTAACCGCTATACAAGGTCGCGCTCGCACTCTCCTGACTGAGAGGCTTCTTTTCGGCCATCCATTCCTTATTGACCTTGAGTCCTTGAAAAACGACTGGACCAACGAAACAGCGGGATACTCGCTGTTCAGCGATCCGCGGAATCAAGCCTGTTTTGGTCCCTCTGATGCTCTCGCACGTCACATCTATGGGATGTCCGCCTTGCGGAACAGATTCATAGCATCTTCAGGCCAAGCGAAGCTTCTATGAACGCAGGCAGGCTTAAAGAGTGGCTAATTGACCTTGCAGAGCTTGATGAGCTTTGTTTGATACTGGCTAATATCAGCGGCGGAGCTCCAGGGCGCATCACTTAGGGTTAGATTTTGACTTAGGGTCAGATTTTAACTTAGGGTCAGATTTTGACTTAGGGTTAGGGCTGTTCAAAACCCCAACCCTAGAGGCTCTTTTGTAACCCTAGTTCCTAAATGGGATATTCCAAAACAGGAAAGTGTCTAGAACAAGTCGAGACTTGATCTGGACCAAGTCTGAAACAGGAGTTTCCATTTTGGGACAAAGCCCAATAAGGAAGGTGGCGCTTGATTAGCGTCTATCGGTCATTGACTATGTTCGCGCGGGGGAGCAGCTCGGGAAGGGTTTGGAGGGTTGCTCATATGGCGCCGATATAGACGGCCGCTGCCTCATGGGATGGACGCAGGCAACGGTCGTAGTCGAGGGACGGACTCGGGCGGGACCGGGGGCAGCGGAATGAGTGCCGAGGGAACGCGAGCGACACGGCTCGGGAAATACTAGCGTGACCCCAGAAGCTACGGATTAAGCGCCTGACCCCAGAAGCTACTGACACGCCTCCAGTTCTCGTGTTTCCTTGTCGATCAATGTGCGCGATTCACACACGATACAATGCACTTCTGAATTATCAATGTCAAAAAGAACGAAGGAAATCGGAAGGGTCCTGCTCCCGATATAAGTCAATCTTAGTAGGGTTAGGGGGGTTTACTGACCTTGTTGAGTTGCCACTAAAAGATCTGCAGGGCCGATCTTTCTGTAACTTTGCAAAGTGTTCAGAACATGTCCAAATCACATTCTCGCTCACTTTCCGAAACATTCCGAGTTGCGGTATTTGAAGGATGGGAAGGTGTCTTTCGAGTGTGACATTCAGCCACCAACCAAGATAAGGCGGACTTTGAACTAGAGCGCTCCTTGAGCGCTGCCACAGATGCAGTGACAGCGTCTCCTGCTGTCCTGCTTCGGTGCTTCTCTTGCGTGGCTTCCTGGTGTTCTCAGTTTCCCTTTGTATCCTGCTTCTTTCCCATGTCTCGTTCGAAGGTTCTCAGGCGACCTCTTACGGGCCCCCCCAAAGGCAGTCGGCGGTGCACACGGCAATATACCGAGGAGACCATGCGCGAAGCCATCCAGCGGTATGAAGATGGGCGGAACCATGGTGAGACCTACACATCTGTTGCAGCAGCCATGGGGGTCCCAGAGGCCACCCTCCGAATGCGACACCAAGGTCTCCACATGTCCCGGCGTACTAGTCATGCTCGGTTCCAGCGTCTTTCGCCTGAAGAGGAAGACGCGCTCTGCGATTGGGTCGAGCATCTCTGCTACATGGGGTTCCCGGTCGACAAGCGCACCCTCATCGACATAGCAGCTCAGATCTCTGGGGACCCCATTGGTGTGTACAACAGGAAATGGGTATACCGTTTCCTTCAAAGACATCCAGGGCTCAAGCTGGGGCGACCCTCTGGCTTGGACCCGAAGCGTGCACAAGCCTTCAACCGGCCGGTTGTCGAGGACCATTTCAAGCAACTCGAGAAACTCATCAAGTCCTTCAACATCCCTTGGAGTCATGTCTACAACATGGACGAGAAGGGGATCCAGAGGGGTGGTGGGCGTCGTTTGCAGAACATTAAGTACTTTGTACCACGCGGCCGTCGTACGAGCTATAAGCTGCGCAGTGCAAGCCTTGAGCTAGTCACAATTATCGAGTGTGTCTGTGCGGATGGCAGCAACATCATGCCCGGGTTCATTTTCTCAGGCAAGGAGTTCATGCGGGACTGGTTCCAGAATGTTGATCGTAATGTCACGTAAGTATATACAAATGAATTCGAAGACATCATTAACGCCTAGGCCACAGGATTGCTCATTCGCCAAATGGCTGGACAGACGACTTTCTTTGCCTTGAGTGGTTTCGGAAGTGCTTCATTCCGCAAGCAACTGCTCGCCGCGAAACCGATGCGCCCATCCTCCTCATTCTCGATGGTCATGGATCACACATCACCTCTGAGATGCGTCATCTCGCTATGGACCATAACATCCACTTATTCTGCCTCCCACCTCACACAACCCATCGCCTCCAACCTCTCGACGTTGGTGTCTTTGGCCCGCTTCAACAAGCGTGGACAAAACGTTGCAACGAGTACTACGTCACCTCACGTGGTCGAGAAATGGACCGTGGCGAGCTCATCCGCGAGTATCTCACCGTCCGGGAGAAGGTCTTCACCCAAGATCTCATCCGCAAAGCTTGGTACCGATCGGGCATCACATCCGAGACATGGAGCGCTGATATCTTCAGTGATGAGGACTTTGCACCGAGCTACGGAACATCTACTATTGCCCACGTACCCCCCTCCTACCCCACCTCTGGTGACCCTACCCTCATCGTGGAGGGGCTTCCCATATCCCCTCCTTCCTCGGATGTCGAAGACGATGATGCCGACACCGGCTCAGAGCGCAGCCACTTCGAGACCAAGTTGAAAGACCCCGGGCTCTCAGAGTTGTCCATCGAAGGGAGTGCGACAACGTCTGAGGCAGAGACAGAGCCTGTTAGCGATGGATACAGCAGCGATGATGGTTAGCTCACTACTAATGTGAATCCCAATTGACGACTGACTTTGATTGACCAGACGATGCCTCTCAATTAACGCCTCCCGGCCAACAACGCTCAACGTCTACAGCGCGCGGCAGCACAAGCCATCACAATCAGGAGCTTGAACAGCTGCGTAGCGAGGTTGCTCGTCTTCAGCGTGAAAACAGCATCCTCCAGTCGCAAAGCAGGCATGCGAATGCACACGCCGCAGTGGCCCACTGGCATATCAACGGCCTGATGGCACAAATCAATCACAAGAAGTCTACAACCCGAAACGGAAAGAAGCGCACCATACGGACGACAGCCCGGTGTCTGACAGTGGGCGAGGGAGCTCAGCAATGCGAGGAGGAGGAGGCGGAGGAAGCTGCTGAGGCTGCACGTAAGGAGGAAGAGCGGATACAGAAGGAACGAGAAGAAGCTCACCGCCAAATCGAACGCGAGCTCGCTGCGAACGACGATGCACACATCTTCTCCGGTGTCCTAGCTCGGAAGAAGAAGGAAGACCTAAAGAAAATCGCATACGCCCTCAAGCTTCCACTGAGCGGTACAAATGCTCACCTATCTACAGCAATCACCGAGCATCTGAAGGCGCATTCGGCTCGCTATGTGACAGACCCCAAATTTGCCGGTCTGTTCATTGCTGCAAATGGTCTCTCCCATGCTCAGAAGCGCGCCCTTCCCCCTGAATTCAATGACGAGAACATACCTCCGCCATCCCAGCGCCCAAGGGGGATGTCGCCCCCCTCCACTCCCACTCCCCAGTCTGTGTCATCCCGTGCATGGACTCCGTCATATAACCCCTGGCAGCCATTTCACACCACCACAATCGACAACCCATACAATACGATACCTTCATTTGAATTCCACCATGTACAGCCTCTTCCCACCCCTTATCCGCCATACCATAGCCCTCTCGATTCCCAATGAAGATGCTTACCTGACTGCGAAGTTCCTCACTAGCCTAAGATCATGCTTAGCGAGCTTGCTAAGCAGCTTCATGAGATTAGAGCAAGATGGCTTGGTATGATCTCCGAGCGACCTGCTTGATGTCTTGAGTACCGGGAGAAAACCTCAACAGGGCCCCAGTTGTCAAGGCTCTAAGTGTCATAGAACAAAGCCAGATTGAGCGATATAGCAGCATGGGACCCAGATATTACGTCTGGGTTTGTTGACCAGCAGAGGCAGCAACGAAAGCAAGACTTCGATGACCGGACAGAGGCAGTGGGCCGCTGGCCAACGTCGCTATCGAGCGACTGATAACGGCGGTGTTTGAATCGGCAGTCTTCGGCATCGTGACCATCTGTGACGATCTCTGGGCGCCTTTCCGTAGCTTCTGGGGTCAGACGTGTAACTCTGCGATGCTCAATGCAAACCTCTACCGATTTGCTTCATATTTCACAGGTATGTACTATCTAGGATACAAATGAAGTGTACAAAGTCTGAGGTTTATCGGAGAGGATAGGAGGAAGATATTCACGACACACGTTCTGGGCCGTAGCTTCTGGGGTCACGCTAGTACATACTACGATTCAGCTGGGTAAGCAGGCGCCGTGTAGGCGCGCGAGGAAATGAGCGAGCGACAAGAGTCGAGCACGCCCATCATCCTTCTTCAGGTCGCCTTTGTAACTGTAGCAGCGCATGATCTCAACAGTGACCCGTACAGTTGTCTTAAACCGCGACGTCCACCTTGAGGGTCTTCAAGGTGGTGACAATTTGCTACATATACGGTTTGCACTTCCGGCATCCGTAACAACATACGATGCTCAATCTTCCAGCTCGCACTCAAGATAGGTCGACACCGGTCTTGTCACAACGAATTAGCCTTCCGGACACAGAAACCGGGCAGGTCAGCCGTCTCAAACCAGACCAGCCTTGGACCTCCAAGACGCGCCGAAGAGCTAACCGTTCCCCCACCAACTTGACTTGTACCTCTACCCGAGTCCTGCTGTGCAGTACTCACCGTCGATATCCTTGTCTTCACCCTCTGCTGCTACTTGCGACTATGTCTTCCTACACCCCG